GTCAATATTAAATAGTATCGTTTAAGCTTGGCTTTATTGGTAAATAACCAATATTTACTTAAGTCTGTAGTTCAATTTGAAGGTTTATAGTGGAGACTGAATTTCAGCGATGAGTATTTATCTTTCTATCTATTTTTTACACTCATATGTAGTTTATACTTGAGTCAATATCTACGTAGTGGTCGTTTAAGCTTGTGTTTATTGGTAAATACTGGTCGTTTATATTTAAGTCTCTTGGTGAATAATGGTCGATTATACTGGAGTGCCGGTTTGTATTTTTTCGATTATCATTATATATATTCTTTATACCTGATGGTTTATACTTGAGTCAATATGTAAATAGTATCGTTTATACTTGAATAATGGTCATTTATACTGGAGTGCCGGTTTGTATTTCTTCAATGTCTAGTTATCATTATATTTACCATTTACACTTGATGGTTTATACTTTTTTTTTTAGCGTTTCACCCCAAGCAAGGAGAGAAGCCACTAGGACGTAAGGGGTTACAGAAGATTTGGAGCAAGATCAGATAGGAATGATAGAAGAAAGGATGAGGAGAAGGATAGTGGATAGATCAAGGCAACTGGAGATGTCGATTGACATTACATTTGAATAGCTGGAGATTATAGCTTTCACGGAAACTGGAATAGGGAAGGGAGTTCCACAGGCGAGAGGTGCGAGACATGAAGCTATTGGAGTAGAAGAGACGGCTATATTTAGGAGTTTCGACAGTGAAGGGGTGAGAGCGGGATGTCAGCCTCGTAGTGCGCTTGAATTCATGACGTCTGGGAACCAGCGAATGCAGCTCCTCGGAGCAATTTCCATGAAAGTATTTGTAGAACAGACAGAGGGAGGCGACGGCGCGTCTGTGAGAAAGTGACTGTAGACGAGATGCCAAATCAGGGCCAATTATATTGCATAACCGCCTCTGGAGCCTATCAAGAACCCCGAGGCAAACAGAAGGGGCTCCAGACCATATATGGCGGCAATACTCCATGCAAGGGCGAATTGTTGATTTGTAGATCTGGAGGATCGATTCCGGGAGAGAAATTTCCTGGCGCGGCACAGGGAGCCAACTTTTCTTGCGGTGGACGAAGTAATTGATTCAATGTATTTGTTCCATCTCAGGTCAGCAGTTAACGTGAGACCGAGCAGGCGCAAAGAGGTGCTCTCGAGAAGTTGTTCATCAGACATTCTAATGGAGGGCAGGGAAGGATCTCTGTGGTGATTAATAGAGAGCAGTTTTGTTTTTGAGGCATTAAATTTAACCAGCCAATTCCTGTCCCAGTTCACAACCGATTGGAGGTCCTTTTCGAGACGCACGGCCAGGTTAGTTTTGTCAGCGACACTAGATTTGTTTTTGAGGCAGGAGTAAATTGTGGTGTCATCCGCGTAGATGCCAACTTGGGAAGTTATGGCGTCAGGAAGGTCATTTATGTAGATAAGGAATAGAGTGGGTCCTAGGATGGAGCCTTGAGGAACACCTGCGTTCGTGGGATAGGAACTGGAGGAGAATCCATTGAGGGAGTCAATATTTAAATAGTTGTTGTTTGGGAAAGGTATGAATGCATCTCTTCTTTCCTAGTCATGGGTAAATAGCAGGGCAGACTGGTTCCTGTGGACTTGGGGGGCAATCGGTCTAGGCGAAGGAAAACTCTGAATTCAAAACCTGAATGACCGAGTGTCCGATGAACAAACTGGTTCCTCGGCAAGACCATGGTCTAGAGAAGGGGTTAAGTGGAGCCCCAGTAGTAAAAAAAATACTGTTAAAGCTCGGTGAACTTCACAGTGTTAACAGCCCTCCACCCCAAATATACTTAAAAAATCCTCACCAACCCTCAATTGGCCAAGAGTTGTGAGGACGGATACAACCCTGACGTCATGGTCAATCAAGGAAGGATTCCTTTAAGAGGAGTGAGAAAGACCTGGATTTGAATTAGGTTTATACTTGAGTCAATAGTAGTCTTTTACACTAGAGTTTATAGGCAAATAGTGTAGTCTTTTATACTTAAGTCTATAGGTAAGTATCGGTTCTTTACACTGGATTGATTGCCTGAATTTCAGCGATGAGTGGTTATCATTATATACCGGGCGTGTGTGACAGCAAAATTATCCAAATCGTGTAAAAGCAAAATTGTCCATCTGTTAGATTAAGATCGGAACGGTTGTATCTTAGAAATGCATAAAGATATTTTACTGGAATTCTCAGAGGTTTTTATAACACTATTGGGCTATACCTTGAGCAAAAGAACGTATAATTACTCTCCAAGCTTAACAGAAGAATCATGATGAAATCAACCATAAACGAAAATGACGTGTTCATAATAATTAATCGGATCGGAAGCTCATCAAAGAATTAAACATAGTTCAACTATATATATATATATATATATATATATATATATATATATATATATATATATATGTGTGTGTGTGTGTGTGTGTGTGTGTGTGTGATTCCAGGATCATTTTACAACTTATTCAAGATGATCTGCGCCCTCTCTAACCTTCTAACATTCTGTTCTGGAGTAACAAGTTGCCTCATATGTTTCATGTACGATTTCATTTACAAGTGTTTTTTTTTTTACTGTTCTTTAGACTGTCATAGCCGAAACTCCTCTCCCAAGTGCTATACATCTTATGAACTGAGTTGGATCTTTTCTAATTGATCTTTTTAATTCTAAGTTGAAATGACGATCCCGCTTCCTGTTGTGACCTCCTGATCCAGGTTTCCTCTATAATGTTCCCTCTTTTTTTAAGTTATTCACCGTTTGCTTGATAGTTCTTGAATGGAGTTTGAAGATGGAAGCCAGAGTATGGATGTTGGTTCCATTAATCAAGACCTGAATGGTCTTTCTTTTCTCACCATTGCTCATTTGGGAAGACATAGTGGGACTGGCACAAAACGATTTTAACCTGTTCTCTTTTCAGCTGAATAATTCAAAGGATTTTTCAATGATTTTTACAATGGTGTCAAGATGACTAAACCTCTGAAAATCTGGCAAAAAGAAACTGAATTAGTTTAGTGCTGTTTCAGATATTAAAGATTTTGGTGGGCTGGACAATTATGCTGTTACACAATTTGGACAATTTTGTTGTCACGCACAAAACATTATTTACATTTGGTTGTTTATATGTTTGGTTTGGTTTGTTTTACGGAATATCAACCTCAGTGGGTTATTTAATACCGACAAGATTAGCATTGCTGGTAATATTTGTTTTTCAAAAATGTATTGCTGGCAATATTTGTTTTTCAAAAATGTATTGCTGGCAATATTTGTTTTTCAAAAATGTATTGCTGGCAATATTTTTTCCCCCAAAATGAATTGCTGGCAGTAATTATTTCTTAAAAAAAACTTTGCTGGTAATAACTTTTACAAAAATGTATTGCTGCCAATAAGAACTTATTTTTGCACTTTTATAGTATTTTGACCCCAGTTTGAGGGTTCACTATTTTCCCAAAGCTGGGACCCTAACAGGTGCTACCACCCCGGGTCTGGGTGGACCTGGGGACACCAGTAATTAAAGAGTGACTCCACGTTCCTCACGTTTCCTGATCAGAGGCCTTGCTGTCGGATGTAGCTTATCGTTTTACCCAGGACGCGGTTGTTTATACTCGAGTCAATATGCAAATAGTGGTCGTTTGGGACAGTCATGAATACATCTCTTCCCCCCAGATATGGGTAAATAGCAGGACAAGCTGAGTCCTATAGCCTTGGGTGGCAACCGGTTAAAGAGAAGGAAAAAAGATTCGCCTATCGTACTGCTCACCGATCATTTAAACAAGAAATAGAGGTGTATCCCTTGTACCATGTTTAGGATTATATTTCCGGTCGCTTCTAAAGTCGTCGCCCCTTTCACTTTCAATAGCTCCCTTGTGTCTTAGTGGCATTAACTTAACGTTTCTTACGACTATACAAGACCACAGAGTGACACTTACCTTGGGCCTTGTATTGGTTGAACATTAACATAAAATCGATAAGCCTGAATACGAAACATTGAAGAAGGAAAGTGGGGGACCAATTCACTATCTTTTCTAAGAAGTCATGGAAATATCACAGACGTTAAAGAAAAATTAAATCTGCCGAGCGTTATGGCCGAAAGTTAAGGCCGATTACGTTTTGAAGGGGAAGGACTTGGTTTAAAGTAAGTTTGAAAAAAAAAGGTATAGGTTTGTCTCTCAAGACCTCTCTGCCAACGAATTCAAAATCGTGGAGAAAATAATGGGGAACGTAATCCTAAACAGGAAACAAGGAATAAACATCTATTCCGGTTGAGAATATGGGGGAGGAGTTTGAACCGGACGATAGGCGAACCTGTTAAGGGAAAAATATAAAAAATAAATAGTAAATAAAATTTCAGAGTTTAGGCGGAGACGTTACATGTGTAGAGTTGAAGCAGAAATTATAAGAAACTGGAAATTCAATCCTAAACAGGAAACAAAAGATAAAGCTCTGCTCCGGTTCAAAAGACAGGGAGGAGTGTGAACAGGGTAATTCTTTAGCTATGATTAGTCAGGACAGCATTCATACTGATACTGCTTAAAATACAAAATTTTCCTTTTTCTAATTACTTTTTCCCTTTTTCCTTTTGACATTTTTCCGTCTTCACTCAACCTCAACTCTCCAATCAATCTATTAATAAAGATACACCCGAGTCGTTCACTTTATTAAGGAACTTATCGAAGGACAAAACACGTTGGTAATGAAGGGTTTTTCTTTTGTCTTTATATCTGTTTTCATTTTAGAGATAATTTTATTTTATTCATCTCTATGTATGTATGTAGGTATCTATCTATCTATCTATCTATCTATCTATCTATCTATCTATCTATCTATCTCTCTATCTATCTATCTATCTATGACTCTTCCTTATCTATCTATCTATCTATCTATCTATCTATCTATCTATCTATCTATCTATCTATCTATGACTCTTCCTTATCTATCTATCTATCTATCTAGCTAGCTAGCTAGCTAGCTAGCTAGTTAGCTATTTCATGTTGTTCATTATCTATCTATCTATCTATCTATCTATCTATCTATCTATCTATCAGTTTAAGCCTCTATGCGTTTCCCACGTGATATCGTTTCTTGCACGTCATGAAAATGACTTCCTCTCAAAGGCGAAATATTCTGCAATTCCCGAACCAAAAATAAAAGCCAATTTCTATCAGAAGCATCAAAAAGTCACAACGTCTAAATGGAAGCATTAAATCCAGCACTGATTTGATCTATCGTCCAAATTGTTTTCACTTTCATCTTCTCCTCTTTCTTTCTTCTTCTTCTTCTTCTTTTTCTACTTCTTCTTCTTCTTCTTCTTCTTCTTCTTCTTCTTCTTACTGTGTCGATCAGTTTTTCCTTCTGATTATTTCGTTCTAAAAAGATATTTTTGACATCTTTCTTTTTTTGTTTCCTTCCTCCTGTTTCATCTCTCAACTGTTATATGTATACTTATTATCTCCCCTTTGTTTCTTCGCTCTTCATTCTTTTCTTCTTTTACATTCTTTTACATACTTTCTTTCCTTTTTCGTGCGTCTTTCTTTGCTTCTTATATTTCAAATGTCGTTTCCGAATATTTTCTTCTTCTTTAGTAACTCTTCACTTCATATTCTTCATTTACTAATTCTTTTCCTTAGCCTTTTTTAGTTTTTCTTTGCCGTCAGTAATTTTTTCTTGTCTTCTCCCTTTTCCACCCCCACCAATTCATCTTCCTTCACCTTTGCTTTCTCCCTTTTGCTCCCAGCATCATTTCTCTTTCTTCTTCTTCTTCTTCTTCTTCTTCTTCTTCTTCTTCTTCTTTCATCTCTTGTATTTTCTCTTTCCTTTTTCTTCATCACATTATTTTAGTTTAGTTCTTTCTTCCTTGCACTGGCCATTTGAAAGGTTTCATCTTCTACCTATTTACCAAATATACGCACTTAAAATCTGTAATCCTTATGACGCTTTTCGTAAAATAAATCTCTTCATCCAAGACTCCAATTTTTCATTTTCCCAATAATTTATATTATGTTGACCTGCCGAAATGAACGGATATCTATCTATCTATCTATCTATCTATCTATCTATCTATCTATCTATCTATCTATCTGCCATTTTATAATCTATCAATCTCAGTCTCTTTATAGTCTATTAATCTATCTATCCCAGTCTCTTCATAATCTATCTATCTATCTATCTATCTATCTATCTATCTATCTATCTATCTATCTATCTATCTATCCCCAGTCTCTTCCTAATCTATCTATCTATCTATCTATCTATCTATCTATCTATCTATCTATCTATCTATCTATCTATCTATCTGCCATTTTATAATCTATCAATCTCAGTCTCTTTATAGTCTATTAATCTATCTATCCCAGTCTCTTCATAATCTATCTATCTATCTATCTATCTATCTATCTATCTATCTATCTATCTATCTATCTCAATCTGTTCATTATCTATCTATCTATCTATCTATCTATCTATCTATCTATCTATCCTAATCTATCTTCCATAATCTATCTATCTATCTATCTATCTATCTATCTATCTATCTATCTATCTATCTATCTCAATCTGTTCATTATCTATCTATCTATCTATCTATTCATCTATCTCTATCTATCTATCTATCTATCCCAGTCTCTTCCTATCTATCCCATCTATCTTCCTATCTATCTATCTATCTATCTATCTATCTATCTATCTATCTATCTATCTTTTTATAATCTATCAATCTGTCTCTTTATAGTTTATTAATCTACCTATTCCAGACTCTTCATAATCTATCTATCTATCTATCTATCTATCTATCTATCTATCTATCTATCTTTTTAGCAGCATTTCAACATCTCTATGGGTTATTTAATGCCGAAATCTAAATATTTTTCAACACAGCTGCATGTTTTTAATTATTCATTTACTATTGAATTAGTCAAATGTAACCGCCACTTCTACTCCGACAGTTTCTATTCTCGCACTTCTCGCCTGTGGAACTACATCCCGTTTATTTGCTTCCCTGACAACTACAATCCTCGAAAATTTAAATGCAACATCAATCGTCATCTTTTACCTCCTTGCATCCCGTTTATCTTTTATCCTTTCCGCAATCCCCCTGATACTCAGTTTTTTTCCTATCACCTTCACTGTCTGTAACCTCCGAATACTACCGGCATTCCCGCCTTGCTTGGGGTGAAATGATTTTAAAATATAGATAGAATGTGTTTGTCTATATTTCTGAGCTGAGGTATTACGTACACTATTTATATTATTCGGACTATTTTCCTCATCTTTGTCGCCATATTTATTACAACGTTTCGGCCGTTGTACGCTCCGGCCTTCTTCAGGTGGTTCAGTTCGACATTCCAACCACCTGAAGAAGGCTGGAGCGTAGAACGGCCGAAACGTTGTAATAAATATGGTGGCAAAGATGAGGGTAATAGTCCGAATAATGTAAATAGTATAGAATGTATTGTTGGTCATTTTGTTATAAATATGTGTTGTTGGTAATTTTACTATATGTATTTTTATACTTTCATTTTTTTTTTTTGAGGTGGTTCACTACTTGCCCATATCCGATACCCTAACAGGTGCTACCACCCCGTTCCGGGGAGGAGCTGAGAGCAAGTGTAATTAAGAGGTTGCTCCATGCTCCTCAAAACCCCCAATCTCCCGATCAGAGGCCGAGCTTCAGGTTATAGCTTCACTTTCTGTCTTTCATATAAAACAAAGCTTAAGTCGAAGGACATAAGCGTATTATGTTAGTCGCAGAAGTTTTACATAGAGTTGTGTGTCTAAATATTAAGAGAGTAGATGACATTTTAGCATGGTCAAAAATGATCAGGTAAAAGAATTAAATATATTACATAGAATAATTTCAAGACTTTTGAAACAAATCAGAAAAGTATGATAAATTCACCAAGTTGGTGCCATAAGTCACAGAAAATTAGAAAATCTTCAGCCACGCCATTTCAAGCTCTAAAGCGGCCCAAAGATTTCTATTCCACATTATTTGTGAATCATTCAGATTTCTTATGAAAGATACTTGCAAGATTCCCTCTTTGTTTTTATCATTGTTTTTGTCAACGCAACCTTGCCTAAATAGCTTGTAAAATACGGCAAGAGTGAGTTCGGTTTTGGGGAAACACCTAATCAAATTGCTCTCCCAACGTGGGTAATAGGCAGGAAAGGAAAAGAGACGGGTGCTAGTAAAACAACAGTGTCTCAGAAAACATGGCACGGCGGGTGGCACAACAACTTTAAGAACGAAAATGGTCACGGGACCTAGTTTACAAAACATTGTGTCTTGCTGACTTTAGGTTTTCCAGTCGCTTTTACTGGCATGAGGCAACTTACAAAGACCCGAATCTTCACCAGTTTCTGAGAGGCCCGGGTTTAGACATGTCAAGCTGTTCCGCTGCTAACGGGGGGAAAATCCGGATGTAAAGAGTATTCACAGACATATTCGCACTCGACTCGTGGTGTCTATTGCGTCTGTTTGGATTATATTGTTTTACGTCATATCAAGCTCAATGGATTATTTAATGCTGGCAACAATTTTGGAAAGGTTCGTATGAATAGAACATGCATTCTTTGTAAGTGTTGCGGTAGGATCCACCTAATTTGCACAGTGGAGTACAGACCATATAAATATGGTTGGTACCGGGAAGATAGGGAGGAATCAAGAGATTCAACCAGAGACTCTGCCCGACTGCGACTCAGGGAACACATTCTCCAGGAACGGTCTTACCAGGAAATATACAAAAGACTATATGTAAATATTGTGTACACTTTCTTGTTTCAATACATTTTGTTCTAAGTACATTTTGTGTTGCATTATTATTCCATGCATTAGTCAAGTTTCAACAGTAAGAAATCAGTTTGTAGATCAATTTTCATTACCGTACATTTGTAAAGAGTTTTTATGTCGAGTCAAATGTAATGCTGGTAATATTTTTTTTTCAAAATTGTATTGCTGGTAGTAATATATTTTTTTCAAAAATGTACTAGTGGTAATAATTTTTTTTCAAAAATGTATTGTTGTAATTTTTACTGTAAAAAAAACTATTTTTACACTTTCATAGTGTTTTGACACCAGTTTAAGGATTAACTATTTGCCTAGGGTTTGGACCTTAACAGGTGCTACCGCCACGGATCGCGGGGAAACTGGGAACAACAGGAAGAAAGAGGTGCTTCTGCGTTCCTTAAAACCTCGGAATTAGAGGCCTTGCTTCCGGATGTAGTTTATAGTCATACCCAGGACGCCTCATTTTGTTGGTGGTGGGGTCTTAGCTCTCTGCAGAGCTGCTGTCAGCGTATTCTGAATACCCAGCCAACAGGGCGATTTTGCGTCGGTACCGACGCGCGTTCGCCAATCTTCTAGACGCTTATGAAAACAGGTTTGTCTTTCGACACGCTACCATTTAAGATTAGAACGTCCATTGATCTAAACCTCTTATTTATCCTATAGGCACCCTACTACTCAACACAAACATTCTTAGGGGATGAAAAAATGGGATCAAGCCAGCCTTTTCCAAGGGTATTCTATGGTTTATTGTGTCGTGCCAGAAGGGGTTTTTTTTCTCGTCAGATTTCGTCTTACTTTTTTATAAATGTACTATTCGTCAGTGCATTGAATACTGTTGCCATATTTGATCCGCTTCTCCTGCAGTTCATCTTGAGATTCTTGACAAAATCCAAAGAATGATCTGCAATGCAATCGATCCTGACTTGACATCTCAACTTCAGTCACTGTCTCACAGACATGATGTGGCTTCCCTCTGTCTTTTCTGCAAATATTTTCATGGAAACTGCTCTGACGAGCCCCGACTATGTGAATTCAAGTGTGCTACTAGATTGGCATCTAGGTCCCACATTTTTAGTGTTGAAATAGCTAAATTTAACCGCCATTTCTACTCCAACAGTTTCTTTTCTCGACAGTGGAACATCCTTACGCTTACTTGCTTTCCTAAAAACCATAAACTTCAAAAATTTAAATGCAACATCAATCGTCATCTTCTCTCATCTTGAATCCCGTTCATCTTTTATCCTTTCCTTAATCCCCCTATACACAGTCTTTTTTCTCACTTTCACTCTCTGTGACCCCCCCCCTTCCTGCGTACTAGTGGCACTCTCACCATAGTTGGGGTGAAATGATTAAAAAAAAGATGATCGCAGTTGCTTAAACGGCATCTTGAACTTGTGACTCATTCCTGACGTGCAGGTCGAAGTACGGTATTCCGTATTCGGAAGGCGCATTCAAAACTCCCCTTGACCACTTGCAAGGCTGTCGGGGTGGCGTCTTCTGTCGGGCCCGCAAACGTACTAACCCCTTCTGCCGGGGGACGAGGGAAACGAAAACGCGATCCGTTGTATCTGGCGAGCCGGGTTTTTTTTTTCCCGTCGGACGTCATGCGCGGCTTCAAGACTTTTCGAATCTCCACCTTTCGGGCGGGAGCGGGAATGAGTTTGCGGGGGTTTTCTAAAGTTGCGCTATCCGAACACCCAGTTTCTAATACGAATTGAAATTATACATCAGCTAAGCGTTCTGCATGTTTTATGAGTCCTAAAATCTTTATATCACAGATAATGTTTACAGCCAAGAATAAGCACACGTAAATAAAATATTACGTGTAATAAGGCCGGCATCAATCTATCGAAGCGAAACAATTTTCCTCCATGATAATGTATATTTGTACGATGCGCAAATTACATCGTAAAACACGGTGCACTCAGCTTCCACATCTTAACTCATTGTTCATAGTCTCCAGAATCTAGCACCAACGAATGACCATTTTTCAATCATTTCCATAACTTTTCCATGCAAGGCATTCTTTAAGATGGAAGATACCAAAAAGACATTCAATAATTTAGCTTCTCTTCTGAAGAATTCTACGTTAAACTATAAATGATTAGTAAAGGTTTATAAATTTAGTTTATCCATTTTAGTACTTTCAAGCGCATCGTAGCGTCTGCTGTTAATCATAAAAATTAAATAAAAAAAAATGTATTAATTACAGGAGTCCCTTTAATACATTCGATTAGCGTTTCACATTTCTGAGATAAGTATTTACATTATTCAGCGTATTTATTACAACGTTTCTCTATATTTCTGAGATTAATCATAAAAACAACGTTTCGGCCTTTCAGTATCTGTCTATTAAATAAAAAAAATTTTACCATTATTGTCCTCATGTATTAATTACAGGAGTCCCTCGATTAATACGCATTCGTCATCTCAGAAATATATACAGATACTGAAAGGCCGAAACGTTGTTATAAATATGGCGACAAAGATGAGGACAATAATCCGAATAATGTAAATAGTGTACATAATACGTCATCTCAGAAATATAGACAGATACTGAAAGTTTTTATAAATATGGACAATAATCCGAAACGTTATGGCGAAATAGTAATAAATCATCTCAGAAATATATACAATACAAAGAAACGTTGTTAGGCACATTAGTTCGAATAATGTAAATAATACTAAAATCTTTATATACCAAAATTCGATTAGTGCATACATAATACTTGATTAGTGCGATAAAACATTCTTCTGTTTAACCATTGTAATTAAAAATTGATTGTTTTTATAATTACTGATATACACATTAGTCGCACCAATCGAGGGATTCTTCTATAGGCTCCTATTAAATCTAGCATTGATCATAGGTTTATGAATAATCCAGTATTCATTATCGGTTTCTAACAATAAACCAATACTATTAATATTCTCAACCTTATTCTGATCCTGATCCCCCTCAATACAATGCGAAGGAAAAAGACACATGCTAGACTTGTGTATAGGGATTGCCCAGCTTTGTTGCACGACAAAGTACGGCTGCACGCTTCTCAATTAACTGTCCTAAAGCTGCATATAGCCCGAATTATGAAATTTAGCCTCATCGTTCATATACACCTGATATCTCTCTTACTAATTATCACTTATTCAATCATTTTGAGCTTTTCCTACGCAATAAAATATTCTCCAATAAGGAGGAGGTAGTCGAAGCATTTGAACTGTTATCACATCAAAGGATGAGAATTTTTTGAAAGATTTTGATCAAGAATTTAGAGCTATGTTGAAGAACAGTCATTGATCAACATGGTGCCTATTTATACTAAATAATTTAGTTAATTAACATTTCAGAAGCACTTTGTTTATTACCTATAAAGTGAGTCATTTCATGTGTGGCAAACGAATATATATATATATATATATATATATATAATGGAAGTCAAAAAACAAAACAAAAAAACCCAAAACAAAGCAAATTGACAGCAATGAAATAAAATACTACACCCGAAAAAAAGTTGTTTGGTGAGATATGGTGTCATCTATCAGCGAAATGAAACATTTAATGCCGTTAGTTGAAAGTATCGAGCAAAAATTGAATAAATAAAAATGCATAAAAAAAATCATTTATCATTGGTTAATCGTAAAGGCTTGTTGTCCTTACACAATAATTCAAGACTACATATTGTCCGAATCACGCAAAAAAAAAAAAAAAGATTATGGTATCATATAGGGAAGATTTGCCTCATCCTCCTTAGTCTCCTGACCTGGCTCCATCTGACAATCATCTCTCCAGCTAATTAAAGGGGAATAATTTTATTAATAGTGAGGAGTCTTAAGCTTATATTATAAGTGTGTTTTTGCATTGAAATACGAAGAATAGACGGATCAACAGTTTTGGCAAATAAAGATGATTAATTTGTCGATAATAATCGAATATATTATTTTAATTAAAAAAATATTCTGTGTGAGTCAAATTCTCCAAGCCTGATATTTGTCAGACACATAATGAGAAAAGATTCTCATTATGTGTCTGACAAATATCAGCTTTCACTTTCTGGTTACGACTATAGGTACTCTTTGTGCTGCCATTTCTTTAAGACTTACTCGTTTCTTTCACGCTCAGTCTATGGTATTCTCAAGCATATTTCTGTTGAAGCTAGTCTTTTCTTCGTCTGTGACAAAATTGGCCAGTATTTACTTCCATATAAACGTCTGTAACACAGCAAAGCGTTAGTACTAGACGGAACGTGATTACAGACAACCAAACTAGCCAGTTATTAAACCAACCCCCAGAAAGCACAATGGCTGGGGGTGTCGACTCATCAGTGCATCTATTTTTGTATTGTAATAATAAGCCGATGAATAATTGCTAGAAGTTGATCAGCCGAAAGTAAAATTCGACAAAGTGGTAAACAAGAGTGAGATTTGATGCATTCAAATTTAATCTTCGTGCTGATTGATTGGTGGATGGATTTTGTGTGAGGTCAGGGTATGTCGGAGTTGAAGCATTTGTAAGAACGCGACGAATTGTTTGTCCGGGGAAGGGAATAAATTTGATAAACGGTGAGGCCGGTGGTGTAAGTGCCTCGCGTTTGTTTGTTTGTTTCTTTCTTTCTACATAGATTGAAATAGACCAGACTTTCTTTTTTCTTTCTTTCTTGCCATTACAACTTTTAGCTAATTTTCTTTTCTATTTTTCATTCATTTAACTATTTTATTTCTTTCTCTCTTGTCTTTTTCCAGAGAGGTAAAATGCTCTTTCTTTCTTTCTTTCTTTCTTTCTTTCTTTCTTTCTTTCTTATAAGTTTTCTTTTTTCCTTTTTTTTAAAGATGTTTGTATTGCTTTCCTTCCTTGTTTGCGTGTTTGTTTGTTCCTTTCTTACTTTATTTCCATAATATTTTCACTGATTTTCTTTTTTTTTCATGTAGTTTACTTTTTCTTTCTTTTTATCCAATTGTCAGAGTGGAGTAATTATAATGAAGCGAATAGATAGATAGATAGATAGATAGATAGATAGATAGATAGATAGATAGATAGGCAGATTGACAGATAGCTAGCTAGCTAGATAGATAGATAGATACATAGGCAGACTGACAGATAGATAGATAGATAGATAGATAGATAGATAGATAGATAGATAGATAGGCAGACTGACAGATAGATAGATAGATAGATAGATAGATAGATAGGCAGACTGACAGATAGATAGATAGATAGATAGATAGATAGATAGAACATTCTTTCTTACTTTCTTTCTTATAAGCTTTATTTTCTTTTTTAATGATGCCTGTATTACTTTTCTTTCTTTCTTTCTTTCTTTCTTTCTTTCTTATAAGTTTTCTTTTTTTCCTTTTTTTTAAAGTTGTTTGTATTGCTTTCCTTCCTTGTTTGCGTGTTTGTTTGTTCCTTTCTTACTTTATTTCCATAATATTTTCACTGATTTTCTTTTTTTTTTTCATGTAGTTTACTTTTTCTTTCTTTTTATCCAATTGTCAGAGTGGAGTAATTATAATGACGCGAATAGATAGATAGATAGATAGATAGATAGATTGAAAAAGATCATTCTTTCTTTCTCCAGGGGTTTTTCTTTTTTAAAGATATCTCTATTTCTTTCCTTCTTTGTTATAAGCTTTCTTTATTTATTTATCTATATCTTATAAGCTTTCTTCTTTTTTCCATTTCTAAGGATTTCTTTCTTTCTTTCTTTCTTTACATAACATTTTTTTAATTAATTTTACGTTTCTTATTCTTTCTTTCATGTTTTTCAAACAAACGGGTAAAATAAAAGCGAAGAGAATAGATAAATAGATCGAGAAATAATATTCTTTCGTTCTTTCTTTGTTTGTTCCCATAACATTTTAAATGATTTCCTTTTTTTCATTTATTTTACTTTTTCTTTCGTTCTATCCTATTTTTCAGAGGGGTGTAATTACAATGAAGTGAGTAGATAGATAGATAGATAGATAGATAGATAGATAGATAGATTGAAATAGACCATTCTTTCTTTCCTCTGGAGTTTTCCTTATTTAAATATATACCTTTTTTCCTTCTTATCAGATTTCTTCCTTTATTTCTTATAAGCTTCCTTTTTTTTTCTTTTTTAAGGATGTTTTTCTTTCATTACATAACATTTATAGTTGATTTTCTTTTTTCATTTATTTTACTTTTTCTCATTTTTCTATCATGTTTTCCCATCAGACAGAATGATAACAAAGAAAATAGATAGATAGATAGGCAGACTGACAGATAGATAGATAGATAGATAGATAGATAGATAGATAGATAGATAGATAGATAGGCAGATTGACAGATAGCTAGCTAGCTAGATAGATAGATACATAGGCAGACTGACAGATAGATAGATGGATTGATAGATAGATAGGCAGACTGACAGATAGATAGATAGATAGATAGATAGATAGATAGATAGATAGATAGATAGCTAGCTAGATAGATAGATACATAGGCAGACTGACAGATAGATAGATGGATTGATAGATAGATAGGCAGACTGACAGATAGATAGATAGATAGATAGATAGATAGATAGGCAGATTGACAGATAGCTAGCTAGCTAGATAGATAGATACATAGGCAGACTGACAGATAGATAGATGGATTGATAGATAGATAGGCAGACTGACAGATAGATAGATAGATAGATAGATAGATAGATAGATGGATTGATAGCTATGCTAGCTAGATAGATAGATACATAGATAGATAGATAGATGACAGATAGATAGATGGATTGATAGATAGATAGGCAGACTGACAGATAGATAGATAGATAGATAGATAGATAGATAGATAGATAGATAGGCAGATTGACAGATAGCTAGCTAGCTAGATAGATAGATACATAGGCAGACTGACAGATAGATAGATGGATTGATAGATAGATAGGCAGACTGACAGTTAGATAGATAGATAGATAGATAGATAGATAGACCATTCTTTCTTACTTTCTTTCTTATAAGCTTTATTTTCTTTTTTAATGATGCCTGTATTACTTTTCTTTCTTTCTTTCTTTCTTTCTTTCTTTCTTTCTTTCTTTCTTTCTTTCTTTCTTTCTTTCTTTTAAAAAGCCAAATCAATGAATCAATCCATCTTTCTTTTTTTATTTCTTAACGATTTTATCTGCTTTTCTTTCTTTCCTAACTGTTTTCTCTATCTATCCCTTCTCTGTTATTTTCTCTGCTTTATAATCGAGGTTATTTTAAAGTCTTAGTTTAATACTGAATTGTACCAAGATCTATGCGTGCAATGATAATCCATGTGCGAGCTTTTAAGTATAATATACAGACGCAATGTCAGATTTTATTTGGTAAGTCTATGCTTACACCCGTCCTGGGTATGACGATAAACTACATCCGGCAGCAAAGCGTCTGATCTGGAAGTTTTGAGGAGGTTTCTTAATTGCTGTTGTTCCCAGGTCTACCCCTGACCCGGGGCTGGTAGCACCTGTTAGAGTCCTAGCTATAGGCAAATAGTTAACTGCCAAACTGGGGTCAAAACACTATGAAAGTATAAAAATAGATTTTTATAGTAAAAATACAAGCAACACAATTTAGAAAAAAACATTACCAGCTGTACATTTTTGAAAAAAAATACTAGCAATATATTTTTTGAAAAAAAATATTACTAGCAATATATTTTCATAAAAAAATATTGACAGCTAAACATGTCTGTCTATATTTCTGAGATGAGGTATTATGTACAGTATTTACATTAGCCGGGCTATTGTCCTCATCTTTGTCGCCATATTAATCACAACGTTTCGGCCGTTGTACGCTCCGGCCTTCTTCAGGTGGTTGGAATTTCGAACTGAACCCTTTATTTCGATCACTGGGGTAGACTGTTCTAGTTCCACGTGCCATGTTTGATCAAGGGCACATGGCACAGTGGATAAAGGCGTTGGTTAGATCCAGTGACAGACCCAAAGAGTGTGAGTTCAATACCCGGTTAAGGCAGTGGAGAACTTTCAGAGGGAAAATTAGCAGGAGATAACTGAAAACTGACATCCATCAAACATGGCACGTGGAACTAGAACAGTCTACCCCAGTGATCGAAATAAAGGGTTCAGTTCGAAATTCCAACCACCTGAAGAAGGCCGTAGCGTACAACGGCCGAAACGTTGTGACAAATATGGCGACAAAGATGAGGACAATAGTCCGACTAATGTAAATACAGCTAAACATGTTTTTAAAAATATTGCCAGCAAAAGAAAATACCAGCAATATATATTTGAAAAAAGCACATTATTTATATTATTCGGACTATTGCCCACATCTTTACCGCTATATTTATTACAACGTTTCGGCTGTTGTACGCTCCGGTCTTCTTCAGGTGGTTGCAATGGAGTGAAATGCTTAATATATATATATTAAGCATTTCACCCAAACTCATTATATATATATATATATATATATATATATATATATATATATATATATATATATATATATATATATTGTGTGTATTTAGGCAGCAATTTTTCATTCATACATGTTTTATTAAATAAAATAAACAAGTGGTGTCTATTTTATGTAAATAAATTTTACAAAAATAAATAGGAACACTTGTCTATATCATTTAATGAAACATGTATGAATATATTTATATATATATATATATATATATATATATATATATATATATATATATATATATATATATATATATATATATTGTGTACATAATATTATTTTTAAATTTATTTAAGTATGATTTTATATGTTTTTATTGTTACTTTAGTGTTTTGACCTCTCTAATGTTTTTAACACCCGACGTAAACGCGAGTAAAACAACTTAAGGCGAGTATTATTTTTCCATATAATATTTAAGAAAAACCGACGTATCTCCGAAAATAACTTAACACTAAACGACGTAAGCCGAGGTATTTCTGCATTATTCAAGTTTTAGGTGTACATCTTCTATTCTAGCTGAATCAATTGTATCATTTTAGGGCTTAAAAATATTTTTCAGTATTTGAATAAGTCGCCTGCCAACAAAAAAAGGACAACCTATAATATCAATATTTATTGACTCAAATATAAACATGCAATATTTACCTCTCCCCTAACCCAGTTCTTCCGGAATTGTGGTTTTTTTCCCCCTCTGGGCCGCATTTTCGGAATGACAATTTGCTCGCGCCTCACTAAAAAAAGCACATTTAAAAATAAAATCTTTTAAGAGAAAATGATTTAAGGATATTAGTCTTACGGATATCTGATAGAAGAAGAGTTATTATTAGAATACACCTTTAAGTGCTGAAACTAGATGCGTCGTCAGTGTTGTTGCTCCCATGTCACTAGAAGTTTCGGGTCTAAATAAACAACAGACTTCTTCGATGGGCGACCCGACCGAATATGATCAGTATTCGGCCCGCACCTAGAAGAAAACTTGCCACTAGCTTTAGGACGCGAATTATATAAGTTGCCCCAGCAAAAAAAAAAAAAAACATCCAATAAAGACTTCACTTGGGCTATTCGAAGTTATAAATTAGGTATGCATGGTTGTAGTGATCTTCCTACTTGCGGCCAAGAATGGGTGTTTTCTTTTGGAAGAATAGAAAAAAACAAACCAATAAATATACTCATAAATACATATACATATGCATATATACACACATACACACATACCCACACACACACAAAATATATATATATATATATATATATATATATATATACACATATACGCACACATACATACATATATATATATATATATATATATATATATATACATATATATACACATATACACACATATACACACACACAAAAAAAAAAAAAAATAAATAAAAAACAAACGATTTATTATATTGGCTCGCCTTGCGACTTGTCCTTTCTCTACCTCCCCTTTTAACTACCTTATTTGTTTGGTCTTTCTTTTCTTTTTACTTTTTATTCTTATTTTCTTCCCTAAAATACATTTAATAAAACGTTTACAATAGCGTGGTTAAAAAGACAGACTATTTACAACTTTAAAAACTAAGAGAAAAACATTTGACTAAAATCGCTTAAAAATAAATTAATCAAACTATTTACATGTTAAATGTTGGTTAAAAAAAAAAACACGTGTAAATTTTAAATAATTTAACCCCCCCCCCCAGAAAAATTATCCTTACTGGAAAGAATTCGTTTAAAAACTAAGAAAATAGCTAAAATTACTCAAAATAAATAGTCGAGATATTTACATGTCGAAAAATAGTTGGAAGAAAATATAGCGTGTAAATTTAGCTAAGATAAGTTACTCCTACAAAAAAAAAATAAAAATAAAAAAACCCAAAAAAAACAACAAATTATCCATGAAGGAAAGCGAAAAAAATTAAAATTCCGTTAAAAAAAAAAAAAAAAAAAAAGGGAAAAAAAGGGAAAAATTACTTGTAAGAAGAGGAAGATTCATATTTAATCAGAATTTGATAAACAAACAAGAAATTATAATGTGGATATAAAGTGAAGGATCAATTATATATTAACATCAATACATAAACGGATCCCTCACATTCCAGAGAACTTAAAGAAATCCCTGTATAGTGAATCATTATTTGATTCATTCGTTTTTTACGGTTTATCACTCCTTTGCACGTTATCAGAAAATATTTTTAGATCTTACGAAGTTTTAGGGGATATAATAGTGATTGGAGATAACAATGGTTTAGTGACAAAAGTTCAACTATTTAACACATAACTGTGGGGAGACGAGATAAATTCATAGCTTTCTCAAAAGTATTGCGCGTAAGTGAATATAAGGAATCGAATTTGAAATGCAACTCGGCTCTCCGATTAAAAATTCCGAGCCATTATGCATCACCCCACCACTACGTCGAAGCTTAAAGCATCTGGTATGCCCAAGCGATCATCTATCTAGGTAATTACCAGCTTATACGATGCTTAACTTCAGTCATCTTACGGTAGCCGGGGTTTCAACGTGATATAGCCGTAAAACCAACAGGTATTTGAGGTTAAGGTTACTTGTAGTGTTCGGACGAGAATATAGTGTTTCAACGTCATATGACCGTAAGCCAGTGATACACTCGCACCTCCGAGCTTTCAGTAACTGGCATTTCCAAGCGATCGACCTAGAACTGGCTTTTAAACGTAATATGATCGTAAGCCAATTATACTACGTGCACAACTGTTATATGACGTAACTATGAACACTAATGAGTTTGTCCCAATCCTCATAAATACGTTGGACACTATTGTAAGTGGGAGTAATATGCCGTCTAAGTAGTCCACCACTAGCAGTGGTTTACCTACTTCACGTCGCTGGCGAGTATAGTATTTTGTTGATGTTATAAAGATTACCATTTCATTTCCAACCTCCGTTTTGGTTATTCCTCATTCAGTAACCTTTTCTAGGTCAACATAACATCCAAGCTTACAATAAGTGGTATTTAAACATTCTTTTCATTTATAATTTCTTTTACTGAAAAGTGTTTCGGTGGATGTGAGTGCGTGTCTGTGTGTATGTAGGGGGTGTCGATTCATACCTTTAGAATTTTGCGCGTAAATGAATTTAACGGATCCGACTAGAATTCGAACTCGGCACTCCATGCTTAGACGTTCATGTATCTTTCGATATCTGACTGACGCGGCAGATTTTTCCCGTAATAGATTGCCATTTCTTTCTGCAACTAGACCCTTTGCCATCCAGTACTAGAGAATCAGGTCTATTTGCCCATAGCTGGGTGGAGAACACGAAGATTCATACCTTTAGCAGGTAAGTGATTGTAATTGATTAGACTCTAATTAGAAATCGGCTCTCCGATTTCTCAATCAGAGCCACTATCTGTTAATCCACCGTGCTTCCATTATCCATTATACTACACGCATAATCCAAGCAGACAGCACCTGGCATTCTCAAGCGGTCACCCATCGAGGTACTGAAAAGGCTTCATGTTGCTTAACCTCAGCGATCGGAAAAGAACAAGTGCTTCAGTGTGATGTGGTCGTAAGCCAAATATACCACCCACGGACACAATGTTACAGCAATTGGTATTCACAATGATAAAACGTCATAAGGAACTTTAAAATTTGCCCAATTTTTAAATCTGTTTTCTGTTTCGTCCCACATTGTTATATTCAGTGAAAAAACGAGGGAACATGTGGCACAAAGCCGAAGTTAACATGGGTCACCCGAGCCCGGACGAAACTCTGCCCTTCGGCACAGCTTCGTCTGCGTTCCTCTCTGCCCAAGGCAGAGAGTTCGACAGGAGCTGTGAAATGTTCGGTAGAACAGTCTATATAACTGTTCCCATCGTCCCACATTGTTATATTTAACACCGCCCACCCCCCATGAGATATGTATATGGCACAAGGCATAGTTCATTGTGGGTTCTCCAAGCCGGCTGTCTCGGCCAAAAATATTCCCTTACCAGCGGGTTCAGGGTCTGTTTACCTCCCCGGACGAAACTTTGCTCTTCGGCAAAGCCTCGTTCGGGTTCCTTTCTGCTCAAGGCAGAGAGTTCGATTGTAATGAACTGTTTGGCACATTGTGTTCCATATTGTACCTTTTCGCTCAATCTGTCGCCGGGTTATATGACAATAATAATAATGACAACTCCAGGGATTGCTGCGTACTTATTATCTAAAGGAAATCCAAAGTTTCCTCGAATTATAAAAGTTATTACAGAATGTTCACAAAGAGTATTTAGATTATGTTAGTAATAAACAACTAAAGAGAAATTAGGTTGATTATAAAATCTAAAATACACTTGGATAGAAAAACAAGTGGAGGTGACACAATGAAGAGAGGCGCAAGGCCGTAGATAAACATTGCGCCGCCATAATCACGTGAACGGAGTAGCGATTCGCTACGATGATGGTTTAACTGAATCACCTATTTAAACATTTTTTTCATTTAAAATTTCATTTTTTTTTAAAGTGTTTCGTTCTTGGGTTGGGTGGGTATAAAAATGACTTCAGAAGACTGTATTACCATTTGGCTTTGCTTAGCTGCTTGACGTCTCGTCTTTTCTGTTTACCGATTCTCTGGTGTTCTTGTATGTTGCAGTAATGATACACTGGGGTTGTTGAGAGTGAAGGTCAACGGAGATGGTTTCTCCAGGAACCGTTATTTCATAGGTTTAATCAAATAAATAACTTTTCCTTTTTTTATATTCCTTTTTTTTCTGTTCGTAGACATTTCATTCCTTTTATTCTTTCTTGTTCTCCATCTATCTATCTATCTATTTATCTATCTATCTATCTATCTATCTATCTATTTATCTATCTATCTATCTATCTATCTATCTATCTATCTATCTATCTATGTCTGTAAATATATATATATATATATATATATATTCCGTCTTTACTGGGAAATATAAGTACAAGAAAAATGCGTTTATCGACAAAAAAAGGATGTTATAAAATTTAGCAAATGTAATGAAAAGAGAGAGGGAGGGAGGGGGGAGGGGGGAGAGTGAGAGTGAAAGAGAGAGAGAGTAGTAAAAAAAAATTGGTTTTAAGGATAATAAGACGGATATCTTGGATGTGTGCGGAGGTGAGGTTGGAATCAAAAACAAAACTGCCAAATTAGCGCCCTCTAGTGAGCACGAAAATAGGCACAACAAAGAAGATTAACTGCACTATAGGCTCTGGGTTTACCCTCATGAGAATCGTAACGTTTCTCACAACAAAGAATAATAACTTAATTGTGAGCCATTTGCCCTTAACTGAGAATATCCACACACACACACACACACACACACACACACACACACACATATATATATATATATAACATTGAGTGGATCAATACAATATATCTATTGTCTGATTCGCTGAAATTCGATCTGAATTTCTCTCTGTAAAATACCAAAGTTAGCTGATTAAAATTCACCAATTAAGTGAATTGATAAGGAAGGAAATTATATAAGTAATTGTTGTTTGAAAAAAACAAAAACAAACAAGCGCATTGTTCTTGCTATTAGGCTATGAACATATTGACATCCTCATTTATAACCGTATGACAGAGGGTGCTGAAAAATGTTCGGTTCGACTAACTCTCTAAGTCTGAGTAAATGACCAGCCACATCACAGTGATTCATTTGATTTCCTTTCTGATAACTTTTCAGCAAACTAAGTCTCTTTCTCTCGCTCTCACTCGCTATATATATATATATATATATATATATATATATATATATATATATATATATATATATATATATATCGTGGCCGAGGGCTTGAGCGTACTGGCCTTGTTCAAATTGTTGATCACACTAGATAACACGCTCTCTCAAAGAAAATGTAACTAAGTCGTCTCTATGGTTATTGACCAAATACAAATGTGCCTGAGCGAGCGTCTGCAATAGGGATTGGCTAGCCGACCTACTAGACGCGTATCCTCGAATACGGGAGGCCAGCTATTATGTATATATATATATATATATATATATATATATGTATAATTATTTTTTAAAATATGATTCCATCGCCACATAAGAGTTCTCATGTTTCAAAAAGAGAAGCTAAAAATTTCAATTTAATTATAAAAATTAAATTCAATTAATGTAACCAGCTCTGTTTCCAACTGACCCTACTATACTATATATATATATAGAGATAGATAGATAAACCTAGTGAGCCAGACAAACCTACCCAGGTTTCACCTAAGCGGATCGTCAGGGAAAGCTGGCTAAGGAGGCAAAAGAGAAACGCATATTTATATGCGATAGTCAAAATCATACCACGTGACCAAATATAAAGAAAAACCTCAAGGACACCGGGGCGCGGGGGAGTTAAAGATTTATTCAACAACTAAAAGGGAGGGGATATTAAAATACGAACATTAAGGTAGAATGACAAAATAAATGGGGAAATTCGTTTTAATTTAGTAACCAAGATTATATATATATATATATATATATATATATATATATATATATATATATATATATATATATATTCTATATTCCCTCCTCGAATTCGACGTATGAGGGTCAAGCAGATCAGTTCCTAGGAAACCGACAGCCCGACAACAGCACATGAGATTTCATTATAGTGGTGAAGGTTTCGTGCAGGACCATCCACACTTTTTTCTTTACAGAGACCTGGTGCTCTACTTGTCACAAGCTCCCCAAACAACCCTCCGCAGGTTTTGAATTCAGAGTTGTTCTTCTCCTAGACCAGTTGCCATCCAAGACTATAGAACCCAGTCTGTCCTGCTATTTACTCATGGCTGGCGGGAGAAGAAGAGGATTCACACCTTTCCCAAGGGTATTAGCACGTAAGTGGATGTAACTGGATTCGAATGGAATAAGAATTAGTAAAATTATATATATATATATATATATAACTTCAAGAGTTATTATAGTGGATACTTTGTACTTTTAATAGACGCCCAGTTTTTTAAGTATTAAACAAAGTGTATTATTTGAATTAATTATTAGTTTCATCAATAAGTTCAAATTCTGATAGTTATAAGCTGAATGTTAATGGCAATTTTTCACTTTATATATGTTTAATGGCTAGAATTTGGGTTAATTGCATTGACAAGAAAGAGATCGTGTTGAAAATTATTCTTGCGTATGATACTCTTTCCCTATATGTGAAACTAAGAAGAACTAACACACAGACATATACAAACACACGCACGAACACAGACAGATAGATATGAACAAGCTGGGATAGATAGTCAGGTGGTTGGAATGTCGAACTGAACCACTGCGGTAGACAGTTCTACTTCCACGTGCCATGTTTAATGGATGTCAGTTATCAGTTATCTCCTGTTAATTTCCCACTGAAAGTTCTCCACTACCTTAACCGGGTATTGAACTCACACTCTTTGGGTCATGTCACTGGATCTAATCAACGCCTTTATCCATTGTGCCATGTGTCCCTGAGGGAAATTAACAGGAGATAACTGATCACTGACATCCATTAAACATGGTACGTGGAACTAGAACAGTCTACACCAGTGAGCGAAATAAAGGGTTCAGTTCGACATTCCAACGGCGAAAACGTTGTAATAAATATGGCGACAAAGATGAGGACAATAGTCTGAATAACGTAAATAATGTACATAATACCTCATCTCAGAAATATAGACAGATATGAAAATATTTATAGAAAACGCAAAGGGAAACAACGTAATGGCGGTGTGAAAGTAACTAAAGTTGAGATGAAAGGTCAGGACCATTAACATTGCAGATTCTTTTTTGGATTTTATCTAGAATTTCTAAACAAATATCGGAGGCACCAGACCAGGTGTTACCGTAATATTCGATGCATGTAGGAATGGTAGATTAATAAATGTGTAAGATGTATTCTAACGAGAAAAATTACCTGGAACGACACAGTGAACCAAATTTCCTAGCAGAAGACCTTGCCATTGATTCAATATAATCCTTCCATTTCATGTCAGGGGAAATCGCGAGGCCGAGAATGTGCAATGAATTGCTCTACTGGAGGTTAGCATCAGCCATGCAATTGAAAAACTAACAAACTGTTCTCTATGACGGTTCAGAAACAGCGGTGTTCTTCTGGCGGGGTTAAAATTTGCTAGCCATTTATTACCAGAGAACATTTCATTTACGAGATTTTCTGATTAAATTACCGGATCTATCGGACTTTTAATAGTAGGTCATATGTACCTTTTGAGCCCTGACAACCGCTTTACCGGTCGTATAGAAAAATGACGTAATGCTCAGCCATAGGTTAAACAGTGGTAAGGAAAAATGACTTAATGTATAGCTATCGGTTGAACGGTGGGTAAACACTTGAAATTATTTTTATATCTACCGTGAAACATTACATACTAGTTATTTGCCAATTTTGACCCAGGAGCTCAGGCAGAAGGGTTAAAATTGTTTAGGAACGCAAGGTTCAAAGAGTGTTTTTTCTTTTTATCTTCTTCTTTTTTTTATTTCTTTTCTTTTTTTTCTTCTTCGTTCTTTCTTTTTCACGCTTCATTTGTTTCATTCGTACTTTATACTTAAACTTTCACATC